ATAGAATCTTTCTACCTATTCGTGGCAGCCAGTAGAAAATGGCCGCAAACTACATGAAAACTGCCGTAGAAGCATGAAAAAATCGATTATTTCCTACTATCGATGAGAGTCGGTCTTGGCCTTCCCGCTAACTTCAAAAATTGCTGCCGTGCATTCGTTACACACACACACATTCTGCCTTTTATAGATAGAGATGAAACTGGTAAACAAAAACTGAAACTATTTAAAGTCACCCCCCACCATATCGAATGGGAATGTATAAATAATGATAATTTCTCAAAAAAAAAAAAAGAAAAAGAAAAAAGACTCTGGACATAAGTTAACGAATTGTTACAGACCCGCCATAAAACAGCAATGAGAATTAGAACGACAAAAATGTGAAATTTATTACAACCAACTTGAGATCTAGTTTAAATACATCCGTATAATAACGCTATTTCTTTCTTTTCTTGATCAATTCAACCCAAGTAAGGATGTAATGCCAGTAAGACGCAAGGGGGCTACTGGAAGTGAAAGATAATAAAAACACTTTACAAGCAACATGAAACCCAATCCTAAACACTGATCATAGAATAAACTTCTACTCCCGTTCAAAAAGTCCTCGAAGAAGCGTAAACCCGGCGATAGGCGAACCTAATAATGACATGAGAACATTCTGGTAATTACTTAACAAAACAGCGGGGGCCCACAGCAATAGACTAAAACAGAAAAAAAGACTTGTGAATATTACAATGAAGATGAAAATTTTAGTTCGTATGGAAAGCCATAACTACATAAAAATATATCATCCAAATATTCCGACATAAATCATATATTAAACTATCGACCTATTTTACATATAGCTCGGTCACATTTTTCAGGCGCACTGATCGGCTAAAGATGAACGTATGCGCGAATGCTATCTCGTTCTTTACAATAGGTTTACAGAGTATATGACTTCGGGGGTGACGAACATTGTCTTCTGTGTTTAATAGATAATATATCTTTTTTTTATGTGTCTGTAAATAGCTTTATCATCACCAGAGGGTTAATCGTGTTTCCTAGAAGCGGAATTATTGGATACGTCAAGGTTTCGCACAAATAAGCAAACAATGCACATAGAAATTGTGCATTCAAACGTCAGAGTGCCAAGATGGGTGAATAGAAATGAGAATAGCTTGTTGAATGAGAATATACATATCATGTCGGAAAAAAATGGCATAGCTAAAGCAGAATAAGTTCAAGATGGAAACTTTATTGCATTCTGAATATTCACCTTATATCTCTCCCAATAATGACACCATCCATTTTTATGTATCTAACCTATTCTATTTTCATATCGTTTTTTTTTGTTTTTTTTTGTGTTTTTTTTTTTTTTGCATACACACGAAAGGACAGGCTGTGCGTGTAATGAGATATGTATATTTTACAGCTAAGCAGATAGTGTTTTATCCTTTCTCTTTCTCTCTCGCCTAATCTCTCTCCCTCCGTCTTTCACACTCTCTTTATATATATATATATAATTTTTTTCAGACATATATTGTTATATATAACGGACAAGGAATGGCTATTATGTTTGATCATGAACCGTTCTTAAGTTTGTATAGTTGCTTTAATTTCGGGAGAAGATAAAGACAAAAATTGTGCAATATTTGGAAATTTTTTTATTATGCTGTTCCACTATACACACACACACACACACACACACACACACACACACACATATATATATATATATATATATATATGTATATTATGCTATTGTTCCACTGTGACAAACTGCTAATTCCGGACCGGACATGTTTCTCTGCCATCTGTGCCCGAGAACTTGTCGTTCGCGGATCGGGATCCTGTCTCATTTGGCAGCCCCCAGAAGACAGACGTAGTTAGATGGACAGGGTGGTCGTCAGCAATGACTAACAGCCTATATATATATATATATATATATATATATATATATATATATATATATATGTGTGTGTGTGTGTGTATGTGTTTTTAAATACGCTATATATATAGGTACAGTTTGCTGAATATTGGAGACGAGGTGATTATATAGATATAGATAGTTCATAGATAGTTCATTCAAAATAAACTTCCTCTGAAGATCACACTGAAGCGCTAAAATGACATATATTATGCAGTGTGGACGTGGATGATCATGTCTCACCACAACTACCTATCCTTTTTCACAAATATTTTCATGGCAACTACACTGACGAGCTTTTATTCCCTGATACCCCTACTACCTGAATTTAAGCGTTCTACTAGATTGGAATCTAGATATCATTATTTTACTGTTGAAATAGCTAAATGCAACCACCACTACTACTCCAACAGTTCTTTTTCCCACACTTCCCGCTTGTGGAACTTCTTTCCCTTTAATTACTTCTCTGATTAAAAAGACATTGGGTTGTTTTCCCTTTGCCTAATCCATGCTATTTGAATTCACTTTTAGTATTGGCAGTCCATCAGCAACAAAAATCCATAGAACTGGTCTACATCGATATTTAACCGATAGCTGGAGGGTAGAGAAAAGAGTTGTTCAAAATATTCCCAAGGGTGATAGGACGAAAATTAACGCAAACTGCTCTGTCATTATTTCTAGGGAATCTGTTCAAATCAACTACACTCCTCAATTAAATGTCCTAACCTAAGACTCGCCATGCCAGTTCCATTATATCGAAGCGCCCTTATTACAATTGTAACCGTTTGGTGAGGTGTAAGTTCAAATCGAACAGATTTTTACCACGAACCAAGATATTTGGAACCGACTCCCAAGAGGACGCTTGCCCGATCACTATAATCTTAACCTGTTCAAGTATTGGGTTAATCGTTATCGTCATCGGATATCCACATAAGCTTCGTCACATATTCTGTGATCCTATACCTAAAGTGTCCCTTGGACGTTGCACAAGGTGAACATCGTTGCGCAAAAAGAAAGGATTGTGCTGAATTTAAAATCGGATAACTGAAACTACTTGCCGTTTTGATAGCTGTTACGTTATATATATATATATATATATATATATATATATATATATATATATATAGGATATGTTGTGGTTTACTCCCTCTAAAGAGTCTATGTTGGACTTTACCTACTAATATAAGATTAGTAGAAGAGAAAGCCTTGGGGGAACAGTCAAATAGATTGTTCAACTGTCCAACTCTCTGTCTCGAGCAGAGACGAACCCGGACGAGGCTTTTTCAAAGGGCAATGTTTCGTCCGGAGAGGTAGACAGTCCCTGAACCTATTTTTGGAAATCCTTAATTTCTAGTTTAAGGGAATCGTCCTCCCAAATTCTTTCTTTCTCATATTGGTATCTCACACCAATCCCCTCAGGGGGCGTCAACAGGAGTCCCCTCCTTCCTCATAGTTTACCTTCGCCTACCGCTCACGCCACCCTTCAGCCAATGAACGCTCAGCAACGTGGGTGCTTGCAATTATCGCTCAAAGGGAAAAAAATTATCTTCCTTTTTTTTTCTTTCCTTTCTTTTCTTCTTCCCGACAACAAACCCATACGACTCTTATCTTAACCGAACGCCGTCTGGAACTCGTCAACGAGACCTTCGCCAAACAAGCACTGAGGCTGGTCAGTGATCTTCCGCACCCTGTCGCCGATTATCCGTTCCGATAAAATAATTTTTTTTCTATCATGGCCAGCTCTGACACAAAACGGGTGCTCTTCTCAAATGATATCTCCACAGATAGTTAATGGTTTAATCTTTCCTTCTTTGTAATCTGTCGGTGGTCCAGCGAAAATTTTTTATCGGTCAGAGCGCGACCCAATTAATATTTATCTCTTAGCATTCTGCCTTGTAGACCACTTGACCAACCTGATATTTTCATTATTGCCATGGGCAGATTGCTATCTTCTTTCGCCGCGTCGTAACAAATCAAATTAAATCCGGTATCTTACTTTCTTCGCTAATGAAAATAAAATCTTTTCCACTTTTCTTTGTTAGAAAAAATAACATCACTCAGTGTCTTTTCGTGATAGCTTCTTATCACCTAATTTAATTCTCGCCTTTTTTTTCACACAACCCTAAATAGTGTCACAGCAGCAGAAGTTGAAAATTGGTTCGATGTAGCAGCTCGAGTCTCAAAGATTGGAGATTTATCGGCTGTTAGTTTGACCGGATGCCCAACTCCAGAAAAAAAAAACGGATGAATTAAATAAATTAAATTCTATCAAAAAAAAAAAGAACAAAAAAAAAACAACCCCGTATGAACACTAAAATCGTAAATGACTAACGCGATAGTCACCCATTTTAACTGCTGCAACCAAATGGAGTCAAGAACAAAATGGTACGATTGGCAGTAAATTTGGACTTCACTTATATTTTAGCACAACTTTCATCTCTAGATACCATAAGATCTTTGGTCTAATGTTGTGTTTTTAATTCAGGTTCTTTGGAGGATGGAAATGCATTCGACTCTTAATTCCAACTAACTGACATACAGTAAATATAATCCAGTCTGTCAATTCTAAGAACCCCTACAAGATGCCCACTTTAATATTAACAAAATTCGGATAAGTACCGAGTGAGTCAATTGTAGTTTTCCGATTGGCGCCAATCTTCGAACTGAAATAAAATGCCGAACAGACATATTTTTTTTATAGTAGAAGAACGTTCTAAACTATATTTCACCGTGTACGTTAACAGGTTCTCTTGGATAAAATCGCATTATAAAACCAGATACCACCAAAGAAAAGAAAAAAGAAACAGAAAGATGGAAGGAAAATAAGGAAAAGAATGAAAAGGAAAAGGAAAGAGAAAAAGAAAAGGAAAGAGAAAAGGAAAAGAAAGGGCGTTTGATGATTCATAACAGACTGACAGATTGGCCAGTCGAATGGTTGGGTGAGTTACGTATTTGATTCTGGCGCCAGTGATTGGGTCGGAAAACTGATGGAAAATACCAGGAATTTGAATGGTAATTTAAAAAATTAGCAATGCATTACGCCTCTGGTTGATTGCTTTCCCAATTCTCTCCCTATTGTGGCCTTCTTTACGAGATTATTGAACATCAATAGATATTGCGAGTGTTCTGTTGATTTTCTCACACTCAATCTATTTCCCTGTCAGTCTGTCTATCTATCTATCTATCTATCTATCTATCTATCTATCTATCTCAGTCCTTTATCACTCAAACTCTCTCTATCCATCATTCTATCTCAGTCCTTTATAAATATCTTTATATATATAGCGTATATTCATTTCTCTATTTATCTATCTACACACACGCACACATACACACACACACAAACGTGTGTGTATGTGTGGAGTAATGGATAGCGGCTTTGATTGAGGAATCGGACAGCCGAGTTCGAATTCCAGTCGAATCCATTACATTCACTTACTTTCCTCGGGAAAGGTATAAATCATCTTCTTCTCCCTCCAGATTGGGCTAAATAGCAGGACAGACTAAGTTCTATAGCCTTGGATGGCAACTGATTCTAGGAGAAGGACAACTCTGAATTCAAAACCTGCGGGGGGTCGTTTGGGGACCTTGTGGCATGTTGTGCACAAGATGTTTGGATTCGGCCCTTCTGCACAAAACCTCCCCCACTATAATCGAATCTCATGTGCTGGTGTTGGGCTGTCGGTTCCTAGGAACTGATCTGCCTGAACCTCATACGTCGAATTCTACGGGAGAGTCGAGTATATATATATATATATATATATATATACTGAATAGAATAATCACGCGAAGGTTGGTAATGAACGATAATACTTAGAACAAGAACAACACATATAAGATTCGATTGCGACGTGTAGAAGAAGTAAACTCCTGGAGGTGAATCATGTAAATTCCACAATAAATCTCCAATTGCCGACCAACATACAGAATTTATTACTGCATTTATGTGATGAGGATATACCCATTACCGTCCGTGGGTATGCTGCAACAATTTAGTTGAGGAGGTGGTGTGGGTTGGTAAACAGTGACTATTTATAGCTATATAGCAAGACTCTTCGCAAAAGCGAATTGAGTCACCGGGCGTGTTTCTAAAAATAAATACGCTAAAATCCACCGTCATCCCTACTGTGCGCCGACAGCTTAATGTTTAGAATCTCCGACTGACACCAATTCAGTCGGGTTTCGATCCTAGCTAGAACCGGATGTCTAGCCACACTGATGAGCTGCGCAACAGTCTGTCTGTGGATGACGTTATATATATATATATATTGTCTGCGATTGGTAGATTGTTGCTATATATATATGTGCGCGTGCATATATATATATAAAGAAATTTGGCAAGTGGAAAACGTTGAATTGATGCTAGATTTTATTATCGATTTCGCTTTTCCACGCTACATTAGTTCTAAAAACGAAAGTAAGAAGCCTAGAAAGGGGAAACGCGTAATCACATATAGTTGCAAGGAATTGTACAATTAAATATAATTTTAAAGTTTGCTACAGCTATAGTTTAAATCTATATCAGGCATAGAGCGTATGTAAATATAACAGTGGACATTGAAGTCAATCCCCAGAGGCAACGTGTATAAATGCAATCGCAATCTATTCACTGACGATTGCGTTTAAGCATTAAACAGACTTTCGCCTCTGGGTGTTGATTTCAATGTTCACTTTTATACCTACATCCATATCTATATCTATATCTATATATATATATATCAATGTGTGCGTGTGTGTGTAGGAAAAGAGAGGTAGAAATGGAAGAGAAAGAGAGAGTCAGAGCAACACTAGAACCATCAAATTGTCATTAAAAGCGTCGAAATTTTCTCGAAGCAAACGCAGAACATGGACATCAGACTGAATGAGCCGTGATCTGTCGCAAACTGGACGGGTCATCCACGAGGCCAAACATTTCGTGTCCATTACTGCATTTAAACGAGAGAGAGAGAGAATGAGAGAGAGAGATAGAAAGAGAGAGATGAGAATGAAAAGAGATGAAAAAGCAGAACCAACGAAAGAAAGTGGAGATCCGTCGAACCCAATGATCTATCTATATATATATATATATATAAGTGAACATAGAAGTCAACACTTAGAGGCGAAAGTCTGTTTCATGCCATATATATATATATATATATAGATAGATAGATAGATAGATAGATTGAGAGAATTTTTGTCCGTTCTAAAACTCATGAAAACTTTGTTCTATATTGTAAAGTTTTTTATACAAGATCATATAACTTCAAAAACTGCTGAATACACAATGCTTTTCAGCATGCCCACCGACAGAAACCTTGACATTGCAAGAAGGATGTTGAATATATTAGTTCAAATAATTCCTTTCAGAACTTCTGTAGATGTTGTAGAAGTTTGTGACAATGTGAGATCAAAACATGAAAGACGGGATTATTATTGAGGATAAATTATAGAAAAAAAAAACTGTGAATATTTAATCTCAGAATTTTAGTTAATTTTGGAGAAGGCATCGAAAGCAGAGACACGCTGTGACCGAATTAACAAATATGTGGAAAGTAGTTAAAATATGTAATAACCAAAATTTTGATCAGAGCAAAGCACTGGTACAACTGTTTTGATAAAAAATTCTCAAGATATTAGCGTGAATAATTGATGAAATAATTCATGAATCATGAAGGTTTTTAAAAAAAAATAAAAAGCTTGAGATGATTTTGAAGACACCTATGGGAATGTTTGAACCCAAACAGCAGAAAGAAAGATGGTGGCAGGACGAAATCATCGAATAATGACAGTAATTCGGATCAAGTTAGCATTGAACCATGCATGCTGATCAATAAAAGAAAGATCTGTAAAATTTAAATGCAATGTCAATCGTTCTATATTATCCGCCCCCCCCCCTGATCGTTTCTTTTCCTAATTCATCCACACCCTGTAACTCCTTGCATGCTAATGACTGCAATACCTTGCTTAGGGTTATGCTGATTGAAAACAAAAATAAACTAGTAGGAATAATTCATTGAATTAACCCTTTGTGTCCTGCGTTGCTGAACTATTTTAACCCTTCTGCCTGAGTCAAAATTCTCAAATAATTGTTATGTAATAGTTCACGGTAGACATAAAATAATTACAAGTGTTTTCCCACCGTTCAGCTGGTCATTAAGTCATTTTTCTCTACCACCTTTCAACCGGTAGCTGGACATAACTTCATTTTTCCCTACAACTATTCAACAGGTAAATGGGCATTACGTCATTTTTCTCTACCACTGGTCAACCGGTAGCTGGTCATTAAATCATTTGTCTTTACCACTTTCCAACTGTAAGCTGGTCATTAAGTCATTTTCTCTACCACTGTTCAACCGGTAACTGCTTTTTAATCATTTTTCGCTACCAATTTTCAACCGGAACTGGGCATTAAGTCATTTTTCTCAACCACCGATAAAGCGGTGGTCAGGGCTCGAGGTGTTAAAGCAGTAAAACGAAGCACAACAAAAAGTGACAAAAAGGGAAAAAATTAAATCTATTGTACCTGAGAATATAAAAATAGGAGCAAAGAAAAAGAAAGAACAAAAAAGAGAGACTGTGAGACAGAAGGAGAAAATGAACTGAAACAACCGGTTATCGCTCCTCACTCGATCGATGAAAGTAAAATTACATTTGACATCGAATAAAAATGATACAGGAAGTAAAAAGTACACGTCCCTTAGGCGAATAGAAAGATAGGTTGTTGGGATATAATGTTATTGGTCGTCCTGGGTATGACGATAAAATACATCCAACAGCAAGGCCTCTGATCACGAGATTTTAAGGAGCATGGAGCCATCTCTTATTTGCTGCTATTCCCAGGTCCACCCTGACTGGTGTCCCAGCTATGGGCAGATAGTTAACCCCAAAATCGGGGTCAAAACACTATGAAAGTCTAAAAATAGGTTTTAGTACCAGCAATACATTTTTGAAAAAAAAATATTACCAGCAATATATTTTTGAAGGAAAAAATATTACCAACAATAAAAAATCTTGTCGGCATTAAATAACCAATTGAGGTTGATATGTCGTGAAACAAAACAAACTAAATTAATATATACTGAGATATATAGATAGATAGATAGATTGATAAAAAATATTACCACCAATAAAAATCTTGTCGGCATTAAATAACCAATTGAGGTTGATGTGTCGTAAAACAAAACAAACCAAACCAATATATACCGAGATAGATAGATAGAGAGAGAGAGAGAGAGAGAGAGAGAAAGATAAAAATATTATCATACTGTAAATATTATAAACGCTTTAAGTGTGTTTCATTAAGACGAATTATATATAAGTGTGTTTCATTAAGACGGATCAAAGTCAACAGTAAATAAATCAGTGTTATTGGTGAAAATTTATTTATTTCTCTATTGGATCATTTTATTTAAGTTATGTCAATTATGTGTGAAAAATAATATCGCCCAAATGTCCGCCAAATCTGAAAGAAAAAGAAAAAAAATCATTAGACGTTTAAACTTAATTTACATTTATATGTTTTATTAATAAATATATAATTAATATAGATATATTAATCAAAATAACAAAAATAAGAGAAAATAATAATAGATAAATAAATAATAATAATATAAATAATAGATTTCTCACAGTTACTTTCTCACGCACGTATAGTACTTTATATACTGTACACCCGTCTTTGTTTAACATTGAAAAAACCCGTCAGCGCCGCCAAGTTGTCACTTTGAGAAGTAATACGACTTTTTTCTGCTAAGCCAGCAAATTTTGAAATACATCCCTGACGATTTGGAATTTTTTTTGTATTTTTTCCTGCAGTTTTTTTGAGGGGGGGGGGCTGCAGATTTTGTCCGTTACATCTGAAGTCCGTTGACGGGGTTTCGTAGATGAGAGGTTTGTCTGTAATTATTTAGTGACCCAATTAGCCTGATACGCCATGATAGAAACTAGAAAGGGGACGATTCTCGTCTCAAACATCCATTGAATATTAAAAGCGCTTTATGTCAGATCTGTCTTATCCGTTTAATGTTGTTCACCGAAATTCCCGCATGCCGAGGAATTTCTTTTTACATATTCCTGTTATATTCTTTTATTCTTCCAGTTTTTGTAATCGAACATTAGCTTCGTTCGTTTTATTCTTACCTTTCTCGTTCCTGTCTTGTTTCATCTTTACTTTTCATAACGATCGCCTTTCAGTAAGCCGTTCTTACCTTCGACATTAGCTCACAGCGAAACCGATAGAGGTCGCTTTCATCTCCAAATCAAGGGAGATAATCAGAAAAGAAGACGCTTTCTTTTCTTTCGCAAAAGGAGGGCCTCTCTTTTCTCCATCGAAACCCAGGAAACCCTATTTTTCTCGCACGGATTCCACAGTTCCAGTGAATGATTCGCCCAATGGAATCCCACCAATCAAAGACACCTGAATTCTTTGTGTGAAAGCGGCGCCTTTTATTTCACTTCTAAAGCAACACTTGCTTTGCGAACTCCTGGTCAGAAGCAGAGACCAACAGAGGGATAGATGATGAGATTAGAATAGAATAGCTTTAGGAGTCGCTTTTGTTGTTTATAATGCTACGCAGGATAAATTCCTTTTCAATATCGAGTAGGAATTTGATGCTTTATTTCTGTAAAAAGCTTTCCAGTAAATTGTTCTGCACTTAAAGATGGAAATACATGCAAATATGCTTCCCACAGAAATCGTGTTTGAACACATGGTAGCTGCATATATATATATATATATATATATATATATATATATATATATATTTCTTCCAGCGACAAACTTTATAACGTTGTAAAAGATATTTAAATACATAATCCAACTTGTCCACAGTCAGTATATTATTTAATACATCTTCAGGCAATACAAGTCACCTGAAGGTAAAAGGTTATTAAATTAGGTTTTTGTATGCGTATAAAAGGAGGAAACAGCTACACATTATGAGGATATGTAAGATGGATAACGGTTGACTTGAAAAGAGAAAGACTGCAGTGGTCGTAAAAGCACTTGAATCTGTTCCCCTAAGGAAAGATTCAAGGGAAAAAAAAACTTTTGGAATGGATCTTCTTCCTTACTAATGGAATACGCAGAGGATGAGGATTGTTCACCCCTATTCATATGACGCAATTGTAAATGTCATAACTAGTGGAACAAGCGAATAGAGTTTGTCCGATTTTTTTTTTCATGGAAACAACAGTAGATTAAAGATATGTTTGTGATGCTGTGTTTATGGGAAACAGGAAAATAATTAATCGCCTACAAGGCCGTGTAAAAGCCTTTGAACACTTGTATAGCCTGGAAAGAAAGAATTAGGCAGTTCCAGACCATATATATGTTAGAAATATTCCGTTTTTCATCTGTTCCGTTTTCTTTTTATATAAAATATGTCACGTAGAGTAAGGTACTTGCTGAAGCAGTATAAGGAACTGGCCATTTTTTTCCAGCCTATTTAGCGATGAATCATATAGATGAGTTCCACCTGAGGTCTGGAAACAGAAAACTGGGCAGATGCAGCCCAAATAAAACAAAAATATTCCATTTTTCATCTGATCCGGTTTTCGTAAAGATAAAATATGGAAGATGTAGTCAAGTACTTTCCGTAACATTATGAGCCGGACATTTTTTTTCCAGCGTCTTTAGCGATGGATTGTATAGATGAGTTCCACTTGAAGACTGAAAAGAGAGAACAGAGCAGCTACAGCCCAAATATAACAGAAATATTCTATTTTTCATTTGATCTGTCTTTTGTAAAGATAAAATATGGCAGGGTGATTAAAGTACTTTCCGTAACAGTATAAGGAAATGATCTTTTTTTTTTTTTTTAGTGCCTTTAGCGATGGATCGTATAGATAAGTTCCACTTGGGTTAACATGAGTTGCAATAGAAGGAGGAAACGCTTGATTTGTTAAGAGTGTAACGATACAACGTGACGAATGAGAAATTAGGGTTAACTCTCCGATGAAAAAGATGCTGGCTTGAAGTATTGAAAGTTACAAGCCAGTTTTACCCCAAACAATTTCAGCATTTCTATGTCATAGTACAACAATAATGGACAGCGTAGTCTAGGTGTATATGAGAAGAAGAAGTTGGAAATTTGAGGAGACCTGCTGTGACTCTCCAGTGAGAACTACTAAATTTCTAGTGTGAATATTGAAATACATGAAATGAGAAGAATAAAACTTTTAGCAAATCTTGCCATGTCGAATAATTCAGAGTGCATAGCCAGGCCTAGAATGGCAAAGTATTGGCCAGGACTCTCATTAACCGAACTGAGTCGGTGTGATTGAATCTCGTACACGCGTAATTCTGTCAGTAATTAATTGCCTAAGATTTGCTATGGGACCAAAATGGCATGAGATCACTGTGAGGGTTTGCAAGGATCAAAAGAATGACAATATTTCGCTTCCTCAAGTCGGCACGTGATGATGATATTTAGGCTATCCGGTTGTCATGACAATATAGTTCTCTCTCTCTCTCTCCTCTCTTTCTCACTCTCTTTCTCTCTATCCCGCTCTCTCTCCCCATCTCCCCACCCCCTCTCCTTCTCTCCCTCTCTCTCCCACCTCTCTCTCTCTCTCCCCATCTCCCCATCCCCTCTCTCTCTCCCAATCTCCCCATCCACCCTCTCTCTCTCCCCATCTCCCCATCCTCTCTCTCTCTCTTTCTCTCTCTTTCTCTCTCTTTCTCCCCTCTCCCCACCCCCCTCTCCCCATCTCCCCACCCCCTCTCTCCCTCTCTCTCCCCCCTCTCTCTCCCCATCTCCCCATCCCCTCTCTCTCCCCATCCACCCTCTCTCCTCCCCCATCCTCTCTCTCTTTCTCTCTTTCTCGCTCTCTTTCTCTCTCTCCCCTCTCTCCCCATCTCCCTCTCCCCCATCTCCCCCCCCCCTCTCTCTTTCACTTTCTCTCTCTTTCTCTCTCTCCCCTCTCTTTCCCCATCTCCCCATCCCCTCTCTCTCTCTCTTCCACCTAGAAACGATGGTGCAACTATTGTCCTTCATAAAATAAAGCGGAATAAAATAATATTATTTTCCGTTGTTGATGCAGTATAGGATATCTTTTAGGATCCGATGAATGGAGACCACGGACGACATAAGACGCAACAGGATCTTTGTAGTAATTCCTATAAAATGGTATTGTCGCCTCCTACTCGGCCAGCCGTCCGAATGTCCAACACCCGCGGCTGATCGATGAGATGATCGCTTCGATCCAAACCTTGCCTTATCCCACGTTGTGTTTAGTTTTGATCATAAGGCTGGTAAAGATCGAATCGTCGTCGGGAATCGTTATATTAGGTTGGTCCAGGCAGAACGAAGACGCAAGTAAAACATAAATAGCTTGGCCAAATTAAATGCTTTTATATACGTTATTTTCTACAGTGCTTGGTTAGTCTTGACGTTAGAATTTATCAATTTCTCATGCGGACAATTATCGACACGATCCGCTTCTTAAGTTGAACGTGACACTTCAGCTAATTTGGTTAAGTCTGGCACAGTGCTTATGTCGGAGGTTCCCTTCGGGAATGCAGCCAAGTGATATCAGGCAATACGGTCGTCTCTCGTCTCTCGTCTCAGCCTCCGCAACAACTTCGCTTCGATTCTTCGCTTTTATTGACACTCACCTCAAACCAGTTTCGGGCATGACGCGGTTAGAAAACTCAGTGACTCCCCTATCTTCCAGCAAGAACCATTTTGTTGTCTGGCTCCTTAAAATTAAGTACATTTCTAAATCGAGAGATCTTTTCCGATGGGTAACGGTCAGAGGTAATCGATCCGCCTCAATAACTTCTTCCTTCTTTTAATGGCGTCTCACACCACTACTTCCCAAATGGGCGTGGGCAATTCCTCCAACTCCGTCGGTATTTCACCTGCGCCTGCCACCTTGGCTACCCTTCGACCAATCCGGCTCTCGACTGCTTGGCGTGGATTAACTTATGGTCATTAATTAAAAAAAATATCATTTCAAGTTTTGCTTACGCAAAAGTTTCACATCTTGGCTTTGTTCAAAATCAGATATTTACCAGATGGTTCTCTAGTCAACCATTCTCTCAATTCTGAAAGGGTTATTTCACTCCATCCACAGGGAAACTATATTCTCGAGTTTTCAGATCAAATCGTATCCGTCCTACTTATTTGCGTTTTCATAACCAGTACTTTAGAGTTAAGTCATTAATCAGTTGCCAGCTTAAAGATCGCCACATGGCTTGTTTGTGTTAATATCTCCTTTCCTTAAGTCATTCATCTGGTTTTAGAGAATTAACCTTTATTTTTTTTTTGAAAAAAAAAAAGAAGAAATCTTTATTCTTTCTCTCGGTTTGTCGATCGTTCTATTCATTAACCCTTTCTTTCTCAGCGCCAAATAGTGTCCCAGTATTAACATCATTCTGAAGCAACCATGGAATTGATGAAGTGGTTCGTTTTTTACATGTCAACCCTTTGCAGGTTCTTTAAAACCAGAAAAATATTTTTATACAGTAAGAACTTTTTGGGAGAGATAATGATGGTTTAGTGATATAAGTCTTAATAATTAATCCATAGATGTGGATGGATACGTTTCTCAATGACTATTTGATTGTAAGTGAATATAACGAACCCGACGGGAATTGGAAGTCGGCATTCCGATTAAACATTCCGAGCCATCATCTATTTTATCACACGCACGTGTCTGTCCACGAACGAGAGCAGATTGGCAGCATCATGGCCGGTTTTCGAGAGCGTTGGGTTTTCTTTAAGTTTAAATGATACGTCAGCGAATCCAACTGGGAAAGGTCACATCTAGATACTTGGGAACTCTGTCAACTGTAGACCGCTTCAGCTGACAGGGTAAACCGAACTGAAGATATATCTAATTGGCTTCCAGATTGTGTCTTGCTTTTATTAGAATCTGTTACCATATAACGCAGAGTTGGGTCTGATGTACATACCTATTTGTAATAAGGACACATGACACAGTGAATAAAGGCGTTAGTTAGATCCAGTGACAGGACCCAAAGAGTGTGAGTTCAATACCTGGTTAAGGCAGTGGAGAACTTTGAGAGGGGAATTAACAGGAGATAACTGACAAGTGACATCCATTAAACATGGCACGTGGAACTAGTGGAACTAGAACCAACTGAAGAAGGCCGAACAGTCGACCATAAGTAAATCGAAATAATGGGACTTAGTATATTTGTGACTTAGTATGTATTTGTTGGTATTATGTTCTCTTACTCACCATCACTACTACTACTACTATTGCTACTACTACTAATAGTACTGATAATAATAATGACATGTATTCGAAATATATTCCAAATTTTATTATGTTGATCTTTGTATTCGTTCGGTGTATTTTGCGAATCTATATGACGTTAGCAAAAGTATTTTGCGAATCTATATGACGTTAGCAAAAGTATTTTGCGAATCTATATGACGTTAGCAAAAGTATTTTGCGAATCTATATGACGTTAGCAAAAGTATTTTGCGAATCTATATGACGTTGACGTATATGACGTTAGCAAAAGTATTTTGCGAATCTATATGACGTTAGCAAAAGTATTTGGCGAATCTATATGACGTTAGCAAAAGTAATTTGCGAATCTATATGACGTTAGCAAAAGTATTTTGCGAATCTATATGACGTTAGCAAAAGTATTTTGCGAATTTATATGACGTTAGCAAAAGATGCATTCCAAAAGATTTGCAACGCACTAAATTACAGTATAATTCTGTTAGAAAACAGAAACAAAAGAGTGTATAACTGCCATACGATATCGATAATTTTCGCCTCGCAGTGAGTGCTGGCAACCACCCCAGAGATGAATAGGAAACTGGTGGCAAGTGAAATGGGGGTTCTACCGGAGGATACTGAGCATTCCATGTACGGAGAGAGTAAGCAACGACTGAAACTCTGAAAGGAAATGGTAACAAAAAAAAAATTACTCAGAATCAGAAACAGATACCTGAAATTCCCTGGGCAATTAAATAATAACAGGAAGGCTTGGAAAACTTAACCCTCACAAGGTATATTGAGAGCGAGAGACTTGGTAACTTGCCTGACCAGCATTTGCGAATGCTTGGTATAACAGGAAGCGATAGGTCTGGCAAATGGAGAAGCGCTGTTAAAGTATAAGAGGTTGTGGAGATCTCTGAACGCTCGTGTTTTGAACAGACACGGCGCCGATATCTGGCTGTTCAATAATAATACTGAATAAAAAGATCATCAAGATAAAAATAGGCACGTCCCCTTTTTCGCCGGAAAACAGATAGCGTAATGAAAAGGCCACAAACTTAACGAAAATAAAGTCTTACCGTCAAAATGTTTATGTTATTATTAAGATGAAAGACCAAAGTATTTTTTAATTATTTCTTGAAATTTTTTAATCCTTTCTAACACGTTCGAAATTTTGGTTAAAGCCTTCTTTTGTTTACGTCATCGCACTGGCATGAAAATAACATTTTTTTTGCGCTTTTTTTGCACTTTTTTTTGCGTTGAAAACACATTGATTTGGTAATTCTTTTAAAAATCAAGTCATTGTCCGCTTTTAATGAAATTTTCAGTACAATTCACAAATGAATTAAATTATTTTTTAAATGTTTTTTAGAAAATTTTGGTAAAAAAATATTTTTTAAAAAAAATATGTTACCCGCCACTTACTTAATTTCATGAAATTTCGCACAAAACCTTTCGATTTCCTGATTTTTTTTAAAGTAGGAATGCTTGGAAATTGTAAATCACCAACTTTTTTTTTCAAATTTCAGCTATCTAACTGAAAATATACTCTGAACTGAAAAATAATAAATCCAATAAAACTATAAAATTAGTTAATTATAAAAACTTTTAATTGCTTTTGTAAATAAGTATATTAAGGACATTATTGTCTGAAGAAATAAAAAATTTTCTGATAAATATTGAATTTTTACAAGAATTTTTTCATTTTTTAAAAAAAATCAATCTAATAATTTATAATAGTTTAAAAGCGTGTAAAATTCTGTATTGGGCTATTTCCTGGATCTGATATAATAATTAAGTGGAAACAAAATTTACAAATCCAAAATTGAAAAGATTAATCAATTTAGTTGTGCTACTCTATTTTTAAAATATTTTTTTTTTATTTTGTATTTTTTTACTTCATACGTTCATTATTTTCATGTATGGTAGACTGAAATTGCCATTATTATGATTTAAAAGTTTTGTCCCTTTATTATGTCGCTTCAATTACGTTTCAACAAATTTCAAAATTTCTATCCAGCTTTAAAAGTTTAAATCTTAAACTAAGTTTTACTTTTTTCAATTACTATTTCCCTAAATATTTTTATTTTATGTATTTACATTAGTGTGGTCCATACTTCAATTGAATAATCATGGTATTTCATTTTTTATTAAATTATAAAATCATTTGAAAAAGAATTATAATATTTTATTTTTGCATCTTCGAAAGGTAAATAAAAGTCAATAAAATATTAAATAATTGCGGAAAATATGTTCATTTGTAAAAATTACTCGGTAGTTAAAAAACAAAAATATGCGTCCACTTCTGGCATTTCTGACAATTGGGTTATCCATAGTAACTACCATCGCTTCCTCTATCAGCAGTCTATCAAATGTTGGATCAGATGAACAGGACCAATCATTAATAATTGGTTGTATATTATTTTTTATGCTACAAGTAAGTAATATTTATTTCAAATCAGATTAACGTAACATTAAATTTTGTAATTTTACTAAATTAACGTGTCAGAAATATATATTTATTTTTTGAAAGAATTTTTAGAATAGAAAAATTTGTTTTGTTTCCAAATTTCTTAAAATTAAGAAAATGGCCGCTTTTAAGAAAATTTTAAGAAATCGAAATTAATTTTGACATTCCAATCTATATAATTTCTATCTTGAATAAACCAAACTATTTTACTTAATTGAAATAATAAATTAAATTATTAATCTTTCAGTTAAAGCTAAAATGAAATCTTCAAGAAAGATTATTCATTTTTAAAA